CTGATAATGAGAGATACCTTAGCGAACTCAGGATGTCGCCAAAAGGCGAGTGTTGAAAGATGTCCGAGGCAGTGAACTCCATTATCGGCGCCCAGCCGGATTCGATTGGTGGGGGCGCGGGAGGTTCGGAGTCCGGCAAGGAGTCCGGCACCTCGGAGTCACGAGCTTCGTGAGGGACAAGATCAGTGTTCGGCTCTATCGCCGTAGAGGTTGCAGCCCCCGAGGCGGCGTCTAGCCATCCATCCTTGATCTGCGCAGCCGGCTCCGAATTGAAGATCGGAGCGGGCTCAAGTGCGGCCTCCAGGGTACTGTCCGGCTGCAGAGCTAAATCATGCTCGTCGTGACAGTGCGGCATGCTCAGCTGTGGCTCGAATCCATCGAGGATCAAGTCCCCATGGATGTCAGCCGTGAAGTTCAAACTTCCAAATCTGACCTGACGGCCAGGGGCATAACTTTCGATCTGCTCTAGATGGCCAAGCGAATTGGCCCGCAGTGCAAAGCCGCCGAATACGAAGATCTGTCCGGGGAGGAAGGTCTCAGCCTGGACTGCGTCGTTGATGATGATCGAAGAAGCCATCGAGCCTATCGGCGACGACACAGAGGAACTCTCAATGAAAGTACCAATGTCGGTGTCAAAACCGGCGGATCTCGGGTAGGGGGTCCCGAACTGTGCGTCTAGGCGGATGGTAACAGGAGACAAGGGACACGATGTTTTATCCAGGTTCGGGCCCTCTTGATGGAGGTAAAACTCTATGTCCTGCTTGATTAATATTGATGATGTGTGTTACAAGAGTGGATCTACGACGAGATCAAGGAGGCTAAACCCTAGAAGCTAGCCTATGGTATGATTGTTGTTCGTCCTACGGACTAAAGCCATCCGGTTTATATAGACACCGGAGAGGGCTAGGGTTACACAGAGTCGGTTACAATGGTAGGAGATCTACATATCCGTATCGCCAAGCTTGCCTTCCACGCCAAGGAAAGTCCCATCCGGACACGGGACGAAGTCTTCAATCTTGTATCTTCATAGTCTTGGAGTCCGGCCGTTGATGATAGTTCGGCTATCCGGACACCCCCTAGTCCAGGACTCCCTCAATGGCTTTATAGAATATTTCATGTGCTTCACTTATATCATTTGAAGTCTGGATTGCCTGTTTCTCTTCACATAGAAAACCGCCATTTGTAGAATGCTCTTTTTCTTCACTTATATTTGTTAGAGCATGGGCATATCTTTTGTAGAAAGAATTAAACTCTCTTGCTTCACTTATATCAATTTAGAGAGATGGCATGAATTGGTCATTCACATGGTTAGTCATAAAATCCTACATAAACTTGTAGATCGCTGAATATGATATGTTTGATTCCTTGCAATAGTTTTGCGATATAAAGATGGTGATATTAGAGTCATGCTAATGGGTGGTTGTGGATTGTAGAGACACTTGTGTTGAGGTTTGCAAGTCCCGTAGCATGCACGTATGGTAACCGTTGTGTGACAAATTTGAAGCATGGGGTGTTTCTTTGATTGTCTTCCTTATGAGTGGCAGTCGGGAACGAGCGATGGTCTTTTCCTACCAATCTACTATCCCCTAGGGGCATGTATAGTAGTACTTTGCTTTGAGGGCTAATAAACTTTTGCAATAAGTATATGAGTTCTTTATGACTAATGTGAGTCCATGGATCATACGCACTTTTACCTTTCCATCATTGCTAGCCTCTTCGGTACCGTGCATTGCCCTTTCTCACACTGAGAGTTGGCGCAAACTTCGCCGGTGCATCCAAACCCCGTGATATGATACGCTCTATCACACATAAGCCTCATTATATCTTCCTCAAAACAGCCACCATACCTACCTATCATGGCATTTCCATAGCCATTCCCAGATATATTGCCATGGAACTTCCATCATCATCATATACATGACTTGAGCATTTATTGTCATATTGCTTTGCATGATTGTAAGATAGCTAGCATGATGTTTTCATGGCTTGTCCGTTTTTTGATGTCGTTGCAGATCTCGGTACACCGCCGGAAGCATTCATATAGAGTCATATCTTTGTTTTAGTATCGAGTTGTAATATTGAGTTGTAAGTAAATAAAAGTGTGATGATCATCATTATAGAGCATTGCCCCATAAAAAAGAAAAAAAAGAAAAAAAAGAAGAAAAAAGGAAAGGCCAAAGAAGACTAAATAAAAAGGGGGCCAAAGAATCCCACCGAAAAAAGAAAAAAGAAAGAAAAAAAGAAAAAAAAGAAAAAGGGGCAATGTTACTATCCTTTTTCCACACTTGTGTTTCAAAGTAGCACCATGTTCTTCATATAGATTGTCTCCTATGTTGTCACTTTCATATACTAGTGGGAATTTTCATTATAGAACTTGGCTTGTATATTGCAATGATGGGCTTCCTCAAATGCCCTAGGTCTTCATGAGCAAGCAAGTTGGATGCACACCCACTTAGTTTCTTTTGTTGAGCTTTCATACATTTATAGCTCTTAGTGCATCCATTGCATGGCAATCCCTACTCCTCGCATTGACATCAATTAGTGGGCATCTCCATAGCCCGTTGATTAGCCGTGTCGATGTGAGACTTTCTCCCTTTTTGTCTACTCCACATAACCTCCATCATTATATTCTATTCTACCTATAGTGCTATATCCATGGCTTGCGCTCATGTATTGCGTGATGGTTGAAAAAGCTGAAGCGCGTTAAAAAGTATAAACCAATTGCTCGGCTCGTCATCGGGGTTGCGCATGATGGGAGCATTTTTGTGTGACGAAAATGAAGCATGGCCAAACTATATGATTTTGTAGGGATAAGCTTGCTTTGGCCTTGTTGTTTTGAAAAGACATGATTGCTTTATTGGTATGCTCGAAGTATTATTGTTTTTATGTCAAATGATAGACTATTGCTTTGAATCACTCGTGTCTTAATATTCATGCCATGATTAGACATAATATCAAGATTATGCTAGGTAGCATTCCACATCAAAAATTATCCTTTTTATCATTTACCTACTCGAGGACGAGCAGGAATTAAGCTTGGGGATGCTGATACGTCTCGGTCGTACCTATAATTTTTGATTGTTCCATGCCAATGTTCTTCAACTTTCATACACTTTTGGCAACTTTTTATATTATTTTTGGGACTAACATATTGATCCAGTGACCAGTGCCATTTCCTGTCTGTTGCATGTTTTATGTTTCGCAGAAAACCAATATCAAATGGAGTCCAAATGGGATAAAAATGGACGGAGATTTTTTTGGAATATTTATGATTTTTGGGAAGTAAAATCAACAAGAAACAGTGTCCGGGGTGGCCACGAGACAGGGGGCCGCGCCCCAGGGAGGCAGGCGCGCCCTTGGCTCTCGTGGGCCACCCGTAAGGCGGTTGACGCTCTTCTTTTGGCGCAAGAAAGCTAATTTTCTGAGAAAGATCTGGGCGAAAGATTCACCCAATCGGAGTTACGGATCTCCGGATATAAAAGAAACGGTGAAGGGGAAGAATCTGAGAACGCAGAAACAGAGAGATAGATCCAATCTTGGAGGGGCTCTCGCCCCTCCCAAGCCATGGGAGGCAAGGACTAGAGGGGAAACCCTTCTCCCATCTAGGGAGGAGGTCAAGGAAGGATAAGAAGAAGAAGGGGGCCTCTCCCCCCCTTGCTTCCGGTGGCGCCGGAGCGCTGCCGGGGGCCATCATCATCACCGCGAGCTTCACCAACACCGCCGTCATCTTCACCAACGTCTCCATCACCTTCCCCCTTCTATATTCAGCGGTCCACTCTCCCGCTTATCAAGTGTAGGGGATAACGGCGCCGAAAATTAGTCTTGATAACCCACAAGTGTAGGGGATCGCAACAGCTTTCGAGGGTGAAGTACAACCCAAATTTATTGATTCGACACAAGGGGAGCCAAAGAATATTCTTGAGTATTAGCATTTGAGTTGTCAATTCAACCACACCTGGATAACTTAGTATCTGCAGCAAGTATTTAGTAGCAAAGGTGGTATGATTATAATGGTAATAGTAGCAATAGTAAAAATAAATGTTTTTGGGTTTTTGTAGTAGTTGTAACAGTAGCAACAGAAAAGTAAATAGGCGAAGAACAATATGTGAAAAGCTCGTAGACAATGGATCGCTGATGGATAATTATGCCGGATGCGATTCCTCATGCAATAGCTATAAAATAGGTTGATATAGAACTAGCTCCAATTCATCAATGTAATGTAGGCATGTATTCCGTAAATAGTCATACGTGCTTATGGAAAAGAACTTGTATGACGTATATTGTCCTACCCTCCCATTGCAGCGGGGTCCTTACGGAAACTAAGGGATATTAAGGTCTCCTTTTAATAGAGAACCGGACCAAAGCATTAACACATAGTGAATACATGAACTCCTCAAACTACGGTCATCACCGAGAAGTATCCCGATTATTGTCACTTCGGGGTTGTCGGATCATAACACAAAATAGGTGACTATACACTACTATGGAAAACCTTATACAAAGAAGTTTATCAGTAGCGCGGTTTAAAAATGGGCGCTACTGCTAATTATTAGTATCGAGGGGTATAAAAACCGCGCTACTACTAAGCTGATAATATTAGCGAGGGGTATAAACCCGTGCTGCTACTAAATGGTCTCCAACAATGCCCCCGGGATAGGCCATAGTAGTAGCGAGGGGGTATAAAACCGGCGCTACTACTAAGAAGTAGTAGTAGCGCAGGTAAGACCCCACGCTACTACTAAGCGTGTCCACCCCAGCCCGATCCATAATCCCAACCCCCGATCCACCCCACCCCACCAACCGTCGTTCCACTCCACCCACCCCCATCTAAAAAAAATCCACCTCCGATCTAGATCCCCTCCTTCTCCTCCCGCGGCCGCACGGCGCGCCGGTCGCCGTTCTTCCGCGACCTCGCCTCCCCCGTCCCCCATGGAGCAGCAGAGGAGGGAGACCAGCGCCCAGATCCGCCCTTCTCCGCCTACGCCAACACCAGTCATGGCATGACCCAGCAGGTGAGGAGGGAGACCAGGAGTGAGGGGGTGACCGCCATGGGCGGGTACAACCTGTTCCTGGCGACCAAGATGCCGCCGGAGCACCGCATCTATGACCCGGACTTGGAGTCGCTGGAGTCGTCCACGACCCCGTTCCTCACGTCGTTCGAGGTGCTGGACGTGTACAGCGGCCCGCCCATGGGTGTCTTCAAGTTCCGGCACTGGGGCTACATGGAGGGCCCATTCAAGGGCCACCCTCCGCACGGCCACCTCGTCGAGTTCTTCGGTGTCCGTGTCTTCCACATAAGTTTATTTGACAGTAATTAATGGTGTATTATTGGTTTTGTTCAAACATATAAAGTGACCTGCAACCCAGTGATGATATATGGGTCGATCAAGACACCAAGGTGGAGAAGGCAGAGTTCTTCTACGAGCGTGGCAACTTCCTCGCAAGCTTCTTGTCTGCGCCTTCTACTTCTGCTTCTGCTGCATCGGCTTCAGGTTGCCCTGTGATGAGAGGAGACTGAAGCGCGACAGAATCGACGAAACATGCTTGTCACTAACTAGTATTGTCTTCAGGCTCTCTCTCTCTCTCTCTCTCGGGAGGACACCTCCCTTCCTCTGCTCCCTGTCCAAGCAAGCGAGCTCTGGATCCACCCCCACAACCACGACATCGGCACCGGCACCGGAGGCCGTGGAGATGTAGCTCCGTCGCGCAGTCGTCGAGCCAAAGTACTCACTCCCCTCTTCCTTTTGCTTCGCTCATGGGTCATCAAATTTGCTTGCTACAGAAACATTAGAGAGAACAAGTTAATAAAACTGAACCTTTCTTTTGAGATGAGATGAGAGGAGAAAAGTTTGATATTTTCCTGTGATTGGAGATAGTAGGAAGATTTGACACTTGCGGAAATGCCAAGCTGATTAGGCATAGGAACCCAATCCATCCTGATTAGGGAGAGCCACTAGTAATTGCAGCAGACTTGACTTGTCAGGTTCCCATACTTCTTACCATGCTTATGCACATCAGTCTTTGCTGCTGCTGTTCTGATAGGTTGCCTATGGATGCCGGTATGTGATATTTCAATGGTGTTAGCTTCCTTGGTTATGCAGTCAGTCTAATTGCCCCTTCGTAATTACATTTGCTATGTTTTCGCCTCTTCATGAGGCCCGTACAAAACCTTATATTGTCGGCCTGAACACATATGTTCTATATTTATAAATATGTCCTGCTGTACCTTCTGCGCATACTTTCCTGGGCAACCTTAGAACCAAATATTTTCTAATGTCTTGTTCAGAGGCCATATATAATATAATTGACCTCCGACATTTTCTAAATGTGGTTCTACAACCAAGTCCGTGACTCTTTTCTGTTCTTTCCTTGCAGTAACTAGTGGCAGGAGTAAAGAGTACATTGAATCTGACATGATACTATAGAAAAGATGATGCTCTTTGTAGTTATTGTTGATTATTGTCCTATTTTTTGTAATATATCTTGAAACATATTCCAGGAAACATTACACAAGCATAAAGCGAGTGAAAATGGCAAACAAAGTGTTGAAGCTGTGGAGGCCCATTTGATTGATCCGCAAGAAAAGGTCGAAGAAAGTACTAGTGTAGATACCAAGAAGAGCTTATTCAAGAATTGGCCATCGATGTCTTCCATAATTGTTTATTGCATCTTCTCCTATCATGACATGGCCTATACGGAGGTATTATTTTCTATTTTTTAGTTCATGGAATTGAAGCATTACAAGAGAAAAACTTATACTAGCCTTTTGTGCTTTAATTGAACTTGTGGTCAATGGTAAAAAATGAGAATAATTAGTAGGAGCAGAATCAATGTGCTCTTTGTAGTATATCTATGTATGTTGGTAGCTATTACACGACCTATTTTAAATAAACTTCAGCTTGTTTTTGAGAAACCCTGATATTTTAAATCAACTTCAGGTATTCTCTCTATGATAGTAGATACGGCAACAGTGTAATAGTATAATCAGGAATAACGACATTTCCATCACTATTGTGTTTTCTTGAATTGTATGCATAAAATGGAATTTGTCAATTTTATTTTTTTAATTCCTAATTCATTAGTAGTGGCGTGGGACAAATTTGCACGCTACTGGTATTTAGGATACTAGTAGCATTGGTATTATAGACACGCTACTACTATTTCTTTAGTAGTAGCGCGGGTTCATAATAGTAGTAGCGTGGGTGGAAACTCGCTACTACTAACTTTGTTAGTAGTAGCGCGGGGTGAACCCACGCTACTACTAACTATTAGCTGTAGCGTGATACTAGTAGCGCAGGTACCCGTGATGCTAGTAGCCATTTCACCCGCGCTGCTAGTAGCCATTTCCCTAGTAGTGATAGACTTGCAAGATAGGATCAAGAACACACATATATTCATGAAAACATAATAGGTTCAGATCTGAAATCATGGCACTCGGGCCCTAGTGACAAGCATTAAGCATAGCAAATTCATAGCAACATCAATCTCAGAACATAGTGGATACTAGGGATCAAACCCTAACAAAACTAACTTGATTACATGGTAAATCTCATCCAACCCATCACCGTCCAGCAAGCCTACGATGGAATTACTCACGCACGGCGGTGAGCATCACGAAATTGGTGATGGAGGATGGTTGATGATGACGATGGCAACGAATCCCCCTCTTCGGAGCCCCGAACGGACTCCAGATCAGCCCTCCCGATAGATATTAGGGCTTGGCGGCGGCTCCGTGTCGTAAAACGCGAAGAAACTTTTTCTCTGATTTTTTTCTCCCTGAGACGGAATATATGGAGTTGGAGTTGAGGTTGGTGGAGGTCCAGGGGGCCCACGAGATAGGAGGCCGCGCCCTAGGGGGGCGCCCCCTGTCTCATGGATAGGCTGTGGGGCCCCTGGCATTGATTCTTTCGCCAAAAATTCTTATTAATTCCAAAAAGTTCCTCCGTAGATTTCCAGGACATTCCGAGAACTTTTCTTTTCTACACATAAAACAAGATCATGGCAGTTCTGCTGAAAACAGCGTCAGTCCGGGTTAGTTTCATTGAAATCATGCAAGTTAGAGTCCAAAACAAGGGCAAAAGTGTTTGGAAAAGTAGATACATTGGAGACGTATCAACTCCCCCAAGCTTAAACCTTTGCTTGTCCTCAAGCAATTTAGTGGATAAACTAAAAGTGATAAAGAAAAACTTTTACAAACTCTGTTTGCTCTTGTTGTTGTAAACATGAAAAGCCAGTATTCAAGTTTCAGCAAATATTATGAACTAACCATACTCACAATAACACTTAGCTACCACAATCAGTCATATCAATAGCATAATCAGCTAGCGAGCCATAATAATAAAACTCGGATGACAGCACTTTCTCAAAATAATTATAACATGATATAACAAAATGGAATCTCGCTAGTCCTTTCTGAGACCACAAAACATAAATGCAGAGCACCTTTAAAGATCAAGGACTGACTAAACATTGTAATTCATGGTAAAAGAGATCCAGTCAAGTCATACCCAATATAAACCAATAATAATGAATACAAATGACAGTGTGCTCTCCAGCGGGTGCTTTTAATAAGAAGGGTGATGACTCAACATAAAAGTAAAAAGATAGACCCTTCACAGAGGGAAGCAAGGATTTGTAGAGGTGCTGGAGCTCGATTCTAAAATAGAGATTGAATAACATTTTGAGCGGCATACTTTCGTTGTCAACGCAACAACTATGAGATGGATGTATCTTCCATACTACATGCATTATAGGCAGTTCCCAAACAGAATGGTAAAGGTTTATACTCCCCCAACCACCAACAAGCATCAATCCATGGCTTGCTAAAAACAACGAGTGCCTCCAACATACAACAGCCCTGGGGGAGTTTTGTTTAATTATTTTGATTTGCTTTGATCTTTTTGGATCATGGGACTGGGCATCCCGGTTACCGGCCCTTTCTCGTGAATGAGGAGCGGAGTCCACTCCTCGTGAGAATAACCCACCTAGCATGGAAGATATAGGAAGCCCTAGTTGTAACATGAGCTGCTCGAGCATACAAAACAGAATTTCATTTGAAGGTTTGGAGTTTGGCACATTCAAATTTACTTGGAACGGTAGGTAGATACCGCATATAGGAAGGTATAGTGGACTCATATGGAACAACTTTGGGGTTTAAGGAATTTGGATGCACAAGCAGTATTCCCACTTAGTACAGGTGAAGGCTAGCAAAAGACTGGGAAGCGACCAACTGAGAGAGCGACAACAGTCGTAAACATGCATTAAAATTAATTCACACCGAGTACAACCATGAGTAGGATATAATCCACCATGAACATAAATATCGTGAAGGCTATGTTGATTTGTTTCAACTACATGCGTGAACATGTGCCAAATCGAGTCACTCAATCCATTTAAAGGAGGATACCACCCCATCATATCACATCATAATCATTCTAATAGCATGTTGGCATGCAAGGTAAACCATTATAACTCATAGCTAATCAAGCATGGCACAAGCAACTATAATCTCTAAATGTCATTGCAAATATGTTTACTTCATAATAGCTGACTCAGGAATGATGAATCATCATATTTACAAAAACAAGAGAGGTCGAGTTCATACCAGCTTTTCTCATCCCAATAAGTCCATCATATATCGTCATTATTGCCTTTCACTCGCATGACCGAACGATGTGTATAATAATAAGAGTGCACGTGCATTGGACTAAGCTGGAATCTGCAAGCATTCAACTCAAGAGAGAAGACAAGTAATATGGGCTCTAAATTAAATAAACAATCATGCATATAAGAGCCACTGATCATTTTCAATATGGTCTTCTCAACCCCCAAAGGAAAGAAAAAGAAAATAAAACTATTTACACGGGAAAGCTCCCAACAAGTAAAAGAAGAAGAACTAGAAATCTTTTTGGGTTTTCATTTTAATTCCTACTACAGGCAAGGAAATTAAACTAACTAATTTTTTGGTTTTTCTTAAGGTTTATCAAACACACAAGAAGAAAAATAGAAAAATAAATCTAAACTAGCATGGATAATATAATGAAAGAGTATGAGCACCGACGACTAGTGTGTGAACATGAATGTAAAGTCGGTGAGAAATACGTACTCTCCCAAGCTTAGGCTTTTTGGCCTAAGTTGGTTTAATACCAAGGACCACCGCTACTCTCTTCGGTGTAATGAGAGGTATAATCAGGATAATACTGGCTGGTCATCTCCGGATCCCACTGGACAGAAGATGCACGATAAGGTCCCAGCTCAGGTTCCAATTCAGGTTCAGGTTCTGGAGTAAAAGCTTGGGTTCGATGGTTGTTCACCGCCTCCGGTGTGACAAGAAAATTTTCTGCAAGCAAATCAAACAACAGAGGCATGGGCAAAATAATAATCTGAAAAAGTTTCTTATTGAATCTAAGTTTATACAAAAGCATCTTTTCTTTGTTGTCAAGAATAAACTTGTGTGCTACCATGCTCTTGTAATCTAAAATGTGAGAAGGCAATGTCGTCTCCTCTTCCTCATGGTGC